ATTAAGTCAAATACTGAATGCTTGTCACAGGAAGATGATGATTGTGAGGATGTTAATTGGAGGCTACTCGATATCGAAGATTTAGACCGTAGGTTTCTCCAGCCTTCTTTCCGAGATTTCAACATGTGTGATTTAGCTCGCCCCGTAGAACCCGCACTTGATATCCTTTCTGAGTCCTCTCTCGAGCTGGTCAAAGACACAATGAATCAAGGTCTTCAACAAATGGGACACAAAAGTTTCAGACGAGGACAGGAATTGGTGGTACTTCGGATTCTTTCCCACTCCTCAACTTTGGTGGTACTCCCTACAGCTGGTGGCAAGTCTCTGTGTTATCAACTCCCTGCATATGTGTTCCAAGTAAATTTTCTATCTTAATATTTGATTTGCTTCATCTATGTGTACAAAACTCATCTATTTATAATTGCTATTCCACTAAATTTTTCTTACAGAAGCTCAGACCTCCAGCTACCGCTCTGGTTATTTCTCCTTTGATTTCATTAATGCAGGATCAAGTACTCACTATTGAATCAGGGATACTTGGTGCTTTCATCAACTCTAATCAGTCTAAAGAAGATAAAGAGATAATTCTAAGCGATGCCAGAACGTAAGGAACTACTCGTTTTAACTCGATCATTATTATGGTACTTTAGATTAGCCTCTACAGACATGCTTTAATTCCGTATTTAGGGGAAAATATGCCTTTTTACTTGTCTCACCCGAAGCAATCGCCGATAGTGATTGGCTTCTTCAACCGGGTCGCCTACCGCCCGTCAGCTTTGTATGCATTGATGAGGCTCATTGTCTTTCGGACTGGTCCCACCATTTTAGGCCCTCATATCTAAGAGTTTGTCATATACTCCGAACCCGGCTAGGAATAACGTGTTTTCTCGGTAGGTTTCTTTTCCATGCCCCATTCACTGTTGATTATGTGTGTGTGTAAATTACTATATATTTAAACTTCATTTGTTTTACTACACGCCTTCGCCATGTAAAACTCTTTTTATGTCGAGTGACTGAAGATTTAATTGTCCTATGTTTTGAATAAACCCAAGCCTTAGTCATTTATTTTATTGACTTTCTGTTATTGTAGCTGAATGGCGAATTGTGGCATAGATCCTTGCATCTAATTTTTTTGAAGTATAACCAGAGATATTCTATATATTACAAATCATACATGCTTACTTATCTTTTTATTTATTTATTTTTAACGCTCCTGCTTTCAACATTGCTTATAAAACTGATTAGACTCTACCGGCAAATCTAGTTACCTAAGTGGTGACTTAGATTTAGTATATTAGAGATATTCTTATCGAAAGCAAAGGCAATTAGTGAGATGACGGGAATGCGCTTGATCCACAGTAGTGATTTGCGCTGTCTTGTTCCCTAAGACTATCGTTTTATATAGAATGCTTAATTAAATCTAAACTATTTATAGAAGCGTAGTGTAAAATTGAACTATGCAAACACAACTCCTTTTATTCTAAAGAGTAAGGAGATATTTCTTCATTACAGCAATGTCCGATCATAGATAAATATAATAATAAGTTGTGAAATTCTCATTAATTAAACCGCTACCCTTAAAAGCTTTTTCGAAATCTATCCAATCACAAGAAATTTTAAATACTTGGGATGCTTTATTTTTCAATTGGTGGCTTGACTTAAAGCTTCAAAGCTGCTATCAAAATAAAATCTTTAAATTATCTAGTAAGTGCGGATAAGCGCGTGAATATTTACTTTATATTACTTTTCCTTATAAGTATATTTGATGCATTTGTTGACTGAATTCCTTTTACTTTTATAAATTTACATCTGCCATTAATTATTATTTTTAATAATCACCAACATATGTCGCAAATTTTGCCAAGCTGTATATTTTCCTTATTAATTTTTCCTCCCTTAAACTTCTTTATATCACTACTTAGTAGTTTCTCATGCAACTGGACATTTAGTTTTTGCATTACTCGTTCACATACCGAGGTCCATACTTTACTCCACCTTGAATAAGAAAACCTCTTGGGAAAGCACGGCCTCATTTAGGTCACGTAATCAACTTCAGGCCATAGAATACCAACATAATCTTCGTTAATTATCGTTATTACTATAAAACCTGTTTTCCTTTAGTGCTCTTTTTATTCTATTACTCACTTCTTTTAATCTATGGCCAATATCTTTAGTTTTTACTGGGCTTGATTAATTTTAAATTATTGGAGCGAGTGAATACTCCAGAAACTCCCAACTATACTATAATGTATATATATATTGTACTAGGTCTTATCTGCTTCTATAAATTGTCAATTCCAGATCCTAATCAAATTTGTCACTGACTTTAGAGGCTGAGAATGATAACGACTGGGTTTTCTGATTCGATTTTTTAT